AGTGTTACACCCGCCCTGTGGTGGGTAGTCTGCCTACAATATAAGGGAGGGAAATAAACTTGCCCTCTGCTGCTCCTCCTCTATTGCTGTTTTCTACTGCCACGAACTGTTGCCCTCTGCCATGTTCCACTCTGCCTTGGAGCCAGCTGAGTATGAACTGAAACCTCCACAAACAGTGAGCTAAATAAACCTTTCCTTCCTTAATTCTGAGTGTTGGGTATTTTGTCTCAGCAACAAGAGAAAAGTAACTGAGACAAGGTCTTTGAAAAACTATAACAAATTAAAGCCCAAATCAGTAGAAGGAAAGAAATAAAGACAGGGCAGAAATAAATATGACAAGGACTACAAGAAAAATACAAAGAATCTGAAAAAAAGAGCTCATTCTTTGAAATGAAAAACAAAATAGACAAACTCTTATTTAAACTAACCAAAAGAAAGGGAGAGAAGACCCAAATAAATCCAATTAGAGATAAGGGAGTATTATAGAAGTTATTACTAGACTACATAGTATCACTAGATAATATTTTCAAAGGCTATATGCCAATTTACCAGAAAATCTAGAAGAAATGAATAAATTTTTGGATACACATGGTATTCAAACACTGAACCAAGAGGATACAAAAACCTATATAAATCAATAACAAGCAATGCAATCAATGGTAATAAAAATTTTTTCAACAAAGAAAAACTCAGGATTGGGCAGATTCACTGTTGAATTTTACCAGACTTTTAAAGAAGAACTGGTATCAGTGTTCCTGAAACTACTTTATAAAATAAAAATGAAAAGAACCCTTCCAAACACATTCTATGAAACCAGTATTACCCTGCTACCAAATCCCAATAAGGATACAAAACAACCCCCTATAGATCAATATCCTTGATGAATGTAGATGAAAAAATCCTTAACAAAATACTTGCAAGTCAAATTCAACAGCACATTAAGAAGTTTATACAGCACAATCAAATTGGGTTAATTCCAGAGATACAAGTATGATTTAACATACACAAATAGATAAAACTAATTATAGCACATAAACAGAATTAAGGATAAAATATCACATGATCATCCCAATAGATGCAGAAAAATCCTCTAATAAAAGTCAGTATCACTGCATGATAAATGGCCTGACTATACTACAGAAGGAGCATAGCCCAACATAACAAAGACTATACAAGACAAACCCATAGCTGATATCACATTGAATGCAGAAAAACTGAAAGCATTTCCTTTAAAATCAAGAACCAAAGTGTACACTCTTGGCACTCTTATTCAATATAATACTTGAAGTTTTAGCTGGAGCAATTAGGCAAGAGAAAGAAATAAAAGGGATAGAAATAAGAAAGGAGGAAGTCAAACTATCTCTGTAGATGATGATTCTATACTTTGAAAACCCTAAAGAGTCTACCAAATGACTCTCAGACCTGATAAATTGAGCACATCAGGAAAAAAAAAATATATATATATATAGCTTTTGTACATGCCAATAATAAACTCACTGATAAGGATATTCAGGTAAACAATCACACACACACACACACACACACACACACACACACACACACACGGAATAAACCTAAAGACCTCTACAAATAAATTATAAAATACTGAAGAAACTGACAAGTAGAAGACGAAAAGACCACCCATGTCACTAATTAATCATGCTAAAATGACAATACTGTCCCTATGTGATTTGCAGATTCAATGCACTTGTCACCAAAATGCTGTCATTCTTCAAAAAACTAGAAAAAAAATCCTAAAATTTATATAGAAGTTCAGAAGACTCTGATGAATGTAAATAGCCAAACTACAGAGCAATGCTGGAGCCATCACAATACCTGATTTCAAAGTACACTACAGACTAAATTTTAGTGACTAAAAACATCATGCTGAATTGGCATAAAAGCAGAAAGGAACAGAACACAGGACCCAGAAATAAATTCACAGGTCTATAGCCATTGGACTTTTGACAAAGGAGCCAAAAAGATATGCTGGAGAGAAGACAGCCTCTTCACCAAATGATGCTGGGAAACCTGGATACCCATAAGTAGAGGATTGAAACTAAAGTCCTGTCTCTCACTCTACAAAAATCAACTCAAAATGGGATCAAGGACCTTAATGTAAGACCTGAAACTTTGAAACTAGTGGTAAATATAGGGATACATTTCGAGATACTGGCCAGGCAACAACTTCCTAATTAGAATTCCAATAGTAGCCAGGCATGGTGGTGCACACCTATAATCCCAGGACTCAGGAGGTTGAGGCAGGAGGATCGTTGTGAGTTTGAGACCATCCTGGGCTACAATGTAACCTCAAGGCCTGCCTGAATGACATAGGGAGACCCTATCGCAAAATGACAAGAAAAAAAAAGCCAATAGCTCAAGAAACAAAAGAACTGAGGAATGAGATTACATCAGATTATAAAACTTCTGCGTAGCAAATGAGACAACAACATACAGAGACAGCCTACAGGAGGAGGGAAAATCTTTGCCATTTATTCATCTGAAATAGGATTAATACCCAGGTTACACAAAGAACACAAAAAAACTTAACAACAAAATAAGGAATTCAATAAAAAACTGAGCAAATGATAGGACTAGGTACTCAAAATGGTCAATAAAATGTAAAAGACATGTCCAATACTTTTAGCCATTAGCCCAGCACAAATCAAAACAGCTCTGAGATTCCATCTCACTCTGGTCAAAATGGCTATTATCAAAAATGCAAAAAAAATATTCAATGCTGGCAAGGAAGTGGGAAAAAGCAACACTGTTGGTGGGAATGTAAGTATAGCCACCGTGGCAAAGTTTGGATGTTTCTGAAGAAACTAAAAGTTGAATACCATGTGATTTAGCTACAATACTCGTGGGTGAATGGTCCAAAAGAAATGAATTCAGTATACAAGAGATACCTGCACATCCATGATCAATGCATATATGGAAATGTCACTTAATCCAATTAATCTGTATAATTAAAGTGCATTAATGATTATAATAATAATAAACTTAAAATGGAATGACTCTAAAGGGAATTCAGAAATCTGGCTGCTGCTCCCGCCACATGCTCAAGTGAGCAAATTTCTGCTGCATTTCAAAGGGCAGGCAAGGATATCACTATTCAGTGCCTTAGAGGCAAGGCCAGAGCGCAGTGTCGCGGGGTGAAAAGTTACTCTGTAGGACCTGTGGGGCACAGCGCTGGATCAGAAAGCATAACTTCTGAGCCTTGAGATCTAATGAGATTTTTTTCTTGCTAGGTTTAGCTTTGGGACCTGTCACTCCTTTTTACTTTCTGATTTTTCTTTTGGCACAGTTATATCAATCTTATGCCTGTGCCATCATTAATGTTTGAAAGCATGTAGTAATTTTTGTCATTTCACAGGTTTGCAAGCAGAGGAATTTTGCCTCAGGATTAATCAAACCTTGAGTCTCACCTATATCTGGTTTAGATGACTATACTACAGAAGGAGCAGTTGATGCTCCTTAGAGTTGATGCTGGAGCAGAAAAAGAGTTTGCAGGCATTGTGGACAGAATGAAAATACTTACATACTTGGGAGCCAAAGGCGTCATGTTATGGACTGAATGCGTATGTATCTCCAAATTTCGTATTTAAGCCCAAACGTCCTGGATGGCTACACTTGGAGTGAGGAAGTGATTAGGATTAAATCAGGTCCTAAGGGGGTATGCTTGATTTGGTAGGACTAATGTTCTTACATATTGAGACATCAGAGTTCTTTCCTCTGCCCTCACTCTGATTCTGCATGACACACCAAGGCGAGACAGAGTGAAGACAGCAAGAATGAATCACCCACAAGCCTAGAAGAGAGCTCTCACCAGATTGGCCCTGTTAGGCTTTGACTGGGGATTTTCAGGTTCCAGAGCCATGAGAATGCAGTCTGTGGTTATTTTTTTTTCTAGCAGCCTGAGCAGATTACTAGGATGACAAAAACTGGGCAGCATTGAGTTACTTATGTGTGATTAGGCTAAATTCCTCACCTGCTTTAACAGACTAAAATTAATATCTAAGATATACAGGTTAGTTTTATGATGGTAAGAAACTAAAGGTGATTACCAGAAGAAATTGGAGATCAATGGCAAAACTTTTTTTAACCCTTATTATTTTTTATAACCGGAACTCTAACTCTTTCATTAAACATTAAAAAGTTTAATATAATTTTTAAAGTTAAAACAAACTTTTATTTCCTAAATTTCAGGCATTCACATCTTTTATGATTTTTGTTGTATGTGCCTACTCTAGCTTGTCAAATTTCAATAAACATTTTTAAAACCTAAATCTATTTGCTTAACAATGTACAGTGTTTATAGTTATATTTTCCTGATACACAATAAAATACAAATAATTACTACAAGTGTTTATCCTTGTAATACCTAAAAGCATCTCATGTTCCAGGAGTGGTACAGGGGTCATATTTACACTTAAATACAAAATTTGATTATCATGATAGCTGAAAACCATATTAAATGTGAAGTGCTAAGCAGCCAGAGAAAGGCCATTTCAGCTCACTTGGCTGTACACCCTGCTTCAAAGTGAGCTGTTTCAAAAACTTATAGCCCAACAACCATTGACACTCCTTCCTGTACAGAAAGCGAAACCATTCCATAGAGGAAGTGAGACCATCCCATTGCTCCATGCCTCTGTCCTTATCTTACTGTAGGGATGACATGTATCGCCTGCCCGAAGGAGACAAAGAAAGCATGGTACTGTCCACTCTGACATTCCTTTCCTAGGCTTTGGGTCCAAGTCACGCCCTTCTTCCAGCTCAACCCTTTCCTTTAAAAACACTTCCTCTGCTCCCCTTTGTGGCTCTGCCTTTGCCTTGCCTATTGCTAGTATGTACTCTCTCTCTTTCAGCTTATTTAATAAATCTCTTTCCTTACTCTGATTTTGGTAAGTTCTTTTCCCACCCATATCACTGGCCTGTGAGTGTCTGCTGCACTCGGGGCCCGGGGTAGAGGCACACACAAAACCAGGACACAGGGGATGCAGAGCAGCAAGAGCCAAGTTTGCAACTGCAACTGCATACTGAAGTTTATTCTGTAAGAAGTTTTATAGCATACAAGTGTAGTTTTTCAGATAACATATGAGTACATACCGAGCCAAGTAATTGTTTTTCTGACAGTCTGTTCCAGGTGTGCTCTATAAACCAAGGTCTGTTGTTATCTTATTTTTCTAAAGCATGAGAAGCAGAAAGTTGTCACACCACCACAAGACTGCTCGGGACATTTTATTTTCTACAAGGCCGGGACATTCTATTTTAATCTACAAGGCCTCTGGCCACTTTCCCATATTGTGAAAGTCTAGCCAAGCAAGTTCTCAAGGTTTTGCGAGGGGAGAACATTTTCTCCTCAAGAGGCACAGGCATTCCAGTCCTCATCTCGACCCCAAGTAACCTGTGGCTCCGGCCCACACAAAGGGAGGGCCTAGGGGCCTGAGGATCCTGTGTTTCCCACACTGGCCCATTGCACTGTTGTCTCATATGACATTAAACATATATGAGAAAATGAAGGCCTGTCTTATGTGTCATAGTTAAGTCACAATATAAATTACACTGCTGAGCTAAAGGGAAAGGATTCTGTCCTTTTTGCTTCTTCGGAGGAGCTCAGTCTTTGCCATCATCTTTGGAGGTTCATCTCCACTTCTCCAAGGTTTCCAGTGCAGATCCTTCAGCTTTCAGAGAAGGACTCAGATCAGACTCTGCAGTGAGGTACAGGCCTTCAACTTTCAACTGGGCCCCCCGGCTCTCTAGCACACAGCCATTCTGCCTGCATCCACTCCTGGCTCCACAGGTGATCACTATAGGCCTACTTTGTTAAATCCTTCATATATGTGTGAATATATATTTTATATTAAATTTTTATATTAAATCTGTATATTTTACATTACAGCCAAGTGAGCTGTAGTGAACCTTATCTATTATTCTTTTTAAAAAATTCAGAAGTTGAATATAAGATAGGATTAACAACAACAAAAAACACATTTATAGTGGTATCTTGGTTCACAAACTCTATTCTCTCTACAACTCTGGTTGCAAAATGAACTAGAGAGCGGAACCAATTTCCCCATAAGGTTAACACTGAACTTAATCATTGAATTTGATTTTGTTCTCATCCAACTTGGTTTGCAACCAGAATTGTGGAATTGAGTTTTGGAACGTAGGTATCACCATATGTTATTATTGAGAAGTTGTCCAAGACAATTATTCAATTAATGTTTAAGCAGGGCCACACATAACGCCCTCTTCTAATAACTACACTGCAAAGACAGATGTGAAATCTCTGAAATTTGAATTGCACTGCATCTCTGTAAGACTCTAAAGCAAACAGAAATGCCTCTCAATGATAACTTCTCGAATTTAAGTGGGTTAGTAGTGAAAAGTGACTCATGGCTTAGTAGTGAAAAGACAAACAAAATCTTTGGTAAAACTTAAAAGAAGACATAAAATAATTTACTTGCAGAATGATTATACTTTGGTTCACCTGTCAGCATTCTACCCATGTAACTGAGTTCTTTATATTTTATATGTCTAAAACATGTTTTCTCAGTAAGAGAGGGAAAACTGAGTAACTCCTTACTACAGATAGAAGTACATGCATTAACCTATATGCATCCCTCTTCAGAAGTGTGCCTTTCACCCACTCAGTTTTCCCTTGTAGATGCGTTCTGTTCTAGCTCTCGTGGTGTTTTTCTCTACCAACACTCAATCTCTGCTGGACGTGAGGGAGTAGAAGGGAAAGTCTGTGTGGTCCCTGGCTCACACCCAGGGAAGACCCTTGGGGCCTGAAAAGAAGGCTTTTATACTGTTTTTGCAGCAGAATTAGTTTTATTTCATTCAAAAGTTTTATACGAGAAAATTTATTTCTGAAATAAAATTTATTGTAAACAATCAAGTTCATAGTGAAATTGAGTATTTATCTGCATTTCCTCTGGTTAAAGCACTCAACCTATAAGAAAAACAAATCATGCTGCCAAGTTCTGCTTTAAAGGTACCCATTTTTGGAAAACCAAAGTTGGTGTCTCTATTTAGTGGCAACAAGTAAAACTTTTAAAACTGTCATTTAAAAAGTAATATTTTAAGAAATATGTACTTGATGAACATGATGTGTTTTATAGAATGGATACATATCTGAATGCCAGTCTGAATATGAAAGATTTGTGTCAAAAACCACACTGGAAACCCAAATGCTCTTTTTATAAAAAGTCGTTTGAAATAAAACAGAACTTGCCAGTAACTATATAAACTTTCACACATGGAATTTGTGGAAAAAAAAAAAATGCCCACTTACACCCCCCGCAAAAGTGGTCCATTTCAGAACAGCCTTCACATGACCATGCATTCCGTATTGCTGGATGCTCAGTTACACTGCCAGTATTTGCTTCCTAAAAGGCATGTTTTGAAGAGTTGTCTAGTGAAACTGCAGTATCAAATATAAGACACTTAACACAGACATGCAATAACAAAGCTAAGACATTACAGTGTAAAGTTTTTACAACTACTTTTAAAACTTCTGATTCACCAAAAAAATAAAGACTTCGAATACAGTAGCATTTTCATCCTCCAACAGTATGCATTAGATGCTTTTGTTACGTGGCCAATCTTTTGGAGTCGAACAAAAATAATGCAGTCCAAACACCATTTCTTCTGTCAATATAATACGATTTCGCGAGCGGGTAGAACAGTAAGGTGCAGAGGAGGAGTTAAATTTTTGGAAGTTTTGGTGCTTTCACCACAGGATTTGCCTCCTGCAAGAACCTTCTCCCTGTACTCTTGTAATCATAGGTGCAGCCGTGAGTCTCTGCATAGCGATGAGATGCACAGAAGTTGTTTCCACATCTAGAGCACAGAAAGAGGGTGTGTGAATAGGCACGCTTCATGCAGGCCAGGAGACACCCTCTGGGTCTTTACCAATGTCAGTGTGGACACTCCCCTTTGACTCAAAAACAGAGATACCCCCCTCTAGAAGAACAAGCTGTCTACAAGTAGCAGTTTATAATAAAAAATCCATTATGGACTGAAACCACATTTAGCCATCATGAAGTAGCATCACTGCAAAAGCTGATAAACATGCCCTCTGTATTTTTTATTTGTTTGTTTTGAGGCAGGGTCTTGCTGTGTAGTACCGGTTGGCCTTGAATTCACTTATGTAGCCCAGACTAGCCTAGGACTCACAGCAATCCTCCTGCTTGAGTCTCCTGAGTGTTGGGATTACAGGCATGCACCACCATGCCTGGCAGTTTGCCATATCTCTTATACCTAGTAAACCTAAATGAAAGTCTGAGAAATACAGTCTTCTGAAAAAATTATGTTAAATATAGCTACTTCATGAAAAAATTAAAAAAAATTTACTAGGTAAAAGCTATTTCATTTGAACACAAGATACTCTAGAAAGTAGCAGTTATTTTCAGTGCCTGGCCTTGGCACAATTTAAGGCCAGACATAATTCTCCAAGATTTCAGTCAATACATAATTATGGGAAGAAAAAAAATTCTTTGCTTTTTTTTGTTGTTGTTTTTCTCTGGTACCAGGAATCTAACTCATGACCTTGCGCTTGCCAGGCAGGCGCTGTGCTGCTGAACTAAATCCCCAGCCCACAAAATTCTTTGCTTTAAAAAATTTATTATTTAAATTAAAAACTTATTATTTAACTGTTTTGAAATAACTGCACCATATAATTGTTAAAATTTGTAGTACATTAACTGTCAATTTAGTCTTTTTTGTTTTTTGAGTCAAGTTCTCACTATGTAGTCCAGGCTGGCCCTGAACTCACAGCGATCTTCCTGCCTCAGCCTCCCAAGTGCTGGGATTGTAGGCATGCGTACCATCACACCTGGTGCCAATCTGTCAATTTAAAATAACAGCATTTTGCAGGAGGCCTTCTTCTAAGGTAACATCCCAACAAAAGCCAAGCATATTTAACACAAAACAAAGGTTCTTGTTCCCACAGGCTCCAATCTCCTAGCTTATAGGACAGTGGGGGATCTGTTTTTGCCTCTTAGAAACTACTTGCTCTTTACTTTAGCCAATCAGGAATTCTACTGAGGGCTACTATGTGAACATCACCTTGATGTTGTAAGTGGCCAATTTAAATAATGCTTTATTTTGCATAATCCCCAGGCCGGGTCACCACCAAGAAAGCATCTCAGCCACTTGAGCTGGCCAACCTGCCTGCATTCGTAGCTAGTAGCCAGTCCTGTTTTCTTTCCACAAAGAAAACAATGTTTTGTTGTTGTCTTCTTCTTTGTTTGGAGAGGGGCTTTCATGGGTGGGAGGTGATGGGGGCATTCTCCTGTTCAGAGAAAGGGCACCTTGGTTAATAAGGCTTAAAATCTAAATGTGAACAGCTACTAGGCAAAGCACATTCCTCTCACAGTACACATCTCTGCCATAAAAATGTAATCTGTAGCATTTTCTACCTAAAAATTACTTAAAGAACCTATAAGAGAAGTTACAGAGCTCTGTTCTTAAGATTTACTCATTTTATACTGATGACACTACTTGTATACACTAATACTTTTCTGGTTGCACCTAAGGGTAATCAGCTCATATAAAATAAACCAAACCAAGCCTTGAAGAAAATCAAGAAAATTGTCTGGCTTAGAATAATACTTGATGAGCCCTTCGAGAATAATCTAGCTGTGATACAATCATCCTAGCCATGAAGAGGTATGTGAGGCCTGAGCTCAATATTTATTTGGCAGCTAAAGTCTCTGAAGATCTAGAAAACTAGATTTACAATTAATCAGTGTTATGCCTTTTGCCAAAGCCCAGATCAGGTGCTAGGTATTAAAGCATAAAGGAAGAGGACGGCTGCGGCTCCCTTCCTGGGAAAGTTGGCCAGCACATCTGTGAGGAGCCACTCCTGGTAAGAGATGCTCTGAGAGCGGCTATGTCCCTGTGCTGTGGAGGCCTGGTCTTTCTTTGATCAGACATAGCCAGCCTGTCTAAGAGAGACATGTTAGTCCAGGATTCTAAAAACTACTTGTCCAGGGCAATTCCTCCAACCCTAGCTCAGCCGCTGGAACTTAAGAATCACATGGCAATTCTGCAGCGAGCTCCTCCCAGACAAGAGCTGTGAATTTCAAATTTGGTTTTTTTCTTTATGTGTGTCCTACATGCCATTCACATAATCATTTCCTCAACTGGGAAAAAGCTTAGGGAGAGACTTTGCTCTATGCACACCATATAGATGCTCTCCCTCTTTTTCTGTGCATAATGGTGTGATTATTAGTCTCATCCTGTCTTCAGGTGACTTGCTGCTTCCTTACCTCCTCTTTTCCCTGCTGCTGTGCTGCTTCGGTTCATTCGTAGGCCAAGGGCAGACTGCAAGGAGAACACAAAACACCTGCAGAGGCGAGTCATCAGCAGGACAAGAGCAGCCAGATGCCAAACTCTGACTGCACAAAGGCATTACGGGCTTCCCTTTAACCTTATTTGATTTTTGTTTAACTAAATTAACTTGGAACCCAGTTCTCACTCCTAGCACCACTACATAGAGCCTATTATTATTCTTTTTTGTGACAGGGTCTTGCTCTGTAGTCAGGCTGGCCTTGAATTTGCAGTGACCCTGCCTTAGTCTCTCTACTGCTGGTATTACAGGCGTGCCTGGCCTAGTGTTTATTATTAATGTTTGAAAGACTAAAGTCTGATGGCTCAGATAAGAATTCTTACTTTGGGGAAAAACACGAATAAAAATACTTATCATTTAAGAAACTGATAACTTATTTATTTTCAATTACTATTCTCAATTCAGGACCAACACATTTAAAACTTAAGTTGGGCATGGTGGCAAATGCCTGTGTTCCTAGCAAGCACCTGGGAGGCTGAAGCAGGAGGATTCCTACAAGTTCAAGGCCAGCCTGGGCTACATAGTGAGTTCAAGTCCAGTCTAAACTACACAGCCAGACTGTCTCAAAAAACCAAAATCAAACCACAAATAAAATTTCATCATCAAATAGTCTGGCTACAAACTGGAAAAAAAAAAAATCCAACCTCAGACCTCCGTACGGCTACCAGAGGCCAGACTTTGAGCCTGCTGCCTCCTGTCCCAGCACTGCAGACAGGACTGCACTTACCGGGAAGGGCGAGGAGGGCTGGGCCCTGGTGGAGCCACACGGACTCGGAGTCTCTGGCTGAAGGCGTGAGCGGGGCGGGCGCAGTCGGCCCGGCCCTCGAGCGCTCTGCACCCCGTCCCTGCTGGCACTCCGTGCTAGAGAAGCCAGCAGCCCGACGTTGCTCACACGGCCCACTGGCTCCTTAACGGCCTTGTTGGCCATCTCTGTGATGTCCCGTGCCTCCACTCTGGAGATGACGTCGGGCCTCTTCCCTGGGGAGCGGACTTTCACCCCTCGACAGCCACAGCTGGTGGCGGCACTGGGGACAGTGGGCTCGGGGGCGGCTCTGCAGTCCCACACCCGGGGCTGTCTGTGCGGCTTCCCCGGGATCCCACTGTCCCCAGGACTCTGCGCTGCCACCCTGGGAGGGGACAGGGATGGGGACTGGGACACGGCGCTGTCCCTCTGCTTGCCCTGGATACCCATGCCACAGCCTGGCCCCGTTGTGCTCCCCTGGGCCTCTTCGGGGTGCAGCGCATTCTCAGGTGCGCACTGTTCGGGGCATGGGATCTCGAGGACAGAGTCATGCATGTCCTCAGTCACCAAGTTCCCCGTGGAGTGCTGGGTGCCCCAAAGCTGGGAGGGCCCTGGCAGTCGCCCTGGGCTCAGGGGCGTTAGTGCGGGCAGCAGCCTGGGGCGCGGGCCCACACCCGTGGAGCCGCTGACTGGTCGAGTGGCAGGCGGGTGAGGCTGCACCCTCAGGGCTCTCTTGGGCTGCAAGGAAACAACGCACACATGTTACTGAGGGTCCTTCTCTACTCTGTCAGAGAACAACAGAAGAAAGCACAAGACAGGATGTTGACATTTCATAACCTCAATGAACAATCTAAACGGTTTAAATCTTAAGAGTCTGATTGAGAATAATTGCTATTTTGCTTTGTTGGGTATAATTTTCTGAGGATGTTAGAGAAGAATACTTTTATTTCCCATAGTATTATTTCATGGGTTGAAAGAACACAGGTTGATTATAGGTGATAACACTGCTGGCCTATTTTCGATCCTGGACCATCTTTCCTGCCAGAATGAACAAGTGTTTTGAAAAGAGCTGAGGGGCCTCAGCTACTCTCCTGGAAGAAACTTGTGTTTCAGGAGGGCTATCCTGACCCTAATGGTGAGAGGGTGGCTTGTGCTCCAAGGTGGTGGCACAGACCCCTGATCCCAGCACTCTGGGAGGCTGAGGCAAGAGATGGCAAGTTCTATCTCAAAAAAATAAAATAAAATATGAAATGGGGCTGGAAATGTAGCTGGGAGCTAAGGCCCTGTGTTCAAGTACCCCCACTCCCCCCGCAAAAAAAAAGAGAGGAAGAAAAGAAAAAATAGTGGTTTGCATGTCACTTATGCCAACGGCTTGTACACACAATATGGTTCATGCTGAACACCTACTTTCTCTCAGGAGCCTGGAACACACACTCTAGGTCAGACTTTGACAGTCTGACCTAGACAGGCCCAGTGAGGGCTTTGTTGGCTCCCTGGCAGACAGCATCCGTTGGTGGATGAGCTAAGTACATGTTACAAGACCCTAGGAGGTCTGGGCCTGGCTTCCTCTGGATTTGGCTCCCTGTACCTTTTCCCTTTGTTGATTTTGCTTTGTATCCATTGCTGTACCAAAGCGTAGCCACAGTGTGACTATATCCTATGACTCTCCCTAGCAAATCATCAAACCTGGGAGTGCTCTTGGACCCACTGGCTCAAGGTTTTAATGAAAGTTCTGCAAAAATTCATGATCTTATGCGGAAAGTTGAGAATTAAAAGAAGATTTAACAAAATGGTAGCCAGCAGGGAATGGGATGGGGTGGAGTATTGGTGATAAACAAACACCCCTCTTACAAGAGAGAGAAAATATACTACGTTGTCAGGAAGTCCAGATAATCTGAGATATAGCATTGTGGCAAGGAGAGCAAGAGGAACTAAGAAGGAAAGGCCTGTGAAGATGACCCCGCTCCTGCTGCTGCTTTTGTGGTGGGGCCATTGCCAATCTGCAATTTTATATCCATCAAAAATATTCTTCAGAAGTGAGGGTTATGACTTCCAGGCTGTGGAAATATATTCTAGTTGCCTAAATCTGAACATGGCCATGCATCTTCCATCCCGTCCCCTTCTCCCCTGATTAAGCAACAATCTAAGCAAAGACCACTGCCTGGGAATGTGGCTCAGTGGGCAGGGCACTTGTCCTGCACCTGTGAGGCCCTGGCAAATTTGGAAGACTCATCTGCAAAGCCTATAGCTGAGGCAAGAAGGAAAATATGGAGCTTCAACCACCCCAAACTAAACCAAACCAAACTAAACCAAACAAGAGAAAGAGAGATGTTAAACTGCAGATGGAACAAAATAAGCCGGCAAAAGAAAAAAAAAATCCTACAGAAAACAGGCCTAAGACCCGTGATACCAAACATGGGCCACTAGGATGAAAAGGGCAATGAGAAATCAAGAAATCTTTCAGAGAACAAGGAGGAAGTTTCAGAGGCACAGCTTGTGGTGGAAGAGTTAACTGGAAGGAAAGGCACTTCCGTTTCAGAACATGAAGAGGAAGGTCAAGAAAGACGGAGGGAAAAGTAAAGATCCCAGAGGAACAGAAGTGAATCACAAAGCCTTCCTTCCAAAAGAGTGTCAGTGAATTAAACAGAAAACTCTTGTACTCTGGGAGGCTGAGGCAGGAGGACTGCAAGTTTGAGTCCAGTCTGGGCAATTTAGTGGCTGAGCGACACCCTGTCTCAAAATAAATATAAAAATTAAAAGGGGTGAGGATATACCTCAGTGTGAAGGCCCTGGGTTCAACCCTTAGTAACGCAAACAAAAAACAAAATACTTGCAATTTTCTAGAGAAAATAGTGTTTGCACCCTCCCCCTCACAGTACTGGGGATCTAAGCCAGGGGTACTCAGTCAGGAAGCCACATCTCAAGTCCTTTTTATTTGTTTGTCATTGAGATCGGGTCTCACTAAATTACCCATGTGGGCCTGGAACTTGTAATCTTCCTCACTCAGCCTTCTGAGCAACTAGGGTGGCAGATGTGAACGTCTGGGTAAGAAAGCGTTGTAAATAACATTACGGGAAAAAATTAGAAAATAAGCAGAAAAGGGCAGACCAAATGCACACAAAACTAATGAAATACATTATAAAATGAGAATTAGAACATTTCAGGTAGATTCACCAACACAATGGAGGAGAAAAAGACCCTAAAACAAACAGATGATAAAAACCTATATCACAGCCCTCCAATCTGAATTAAGTATTTTTTTTCTGTTTTTATTTTAAAGAGAATAAAAATTAAAAAAACATTAAAGACTATACAGAATTTTAAAACAAGATGATAGGAATCAATAATGGTTGTTATCTTCAAAGTAGTTGTTTAGATTATCAGATATAAACATGTAAAATTGGTCAAAAAATTAAGAAAAAAATTAAGCATTAAGTGTTCCTTTCAATAAACCAAATTAGTAGTTCAATTATCTTGGCTATCTTGTGTGTGTGTGT